AGGGAGGGAGGGAGGGAGGCAGGGAGAGAGAGAGAGAGAGAGAGAGAGAGAGAGAGAGAGAGAGAGAGAGACTAAAAAAGTTCAAAAAACTTAAAACAGAAACAAAAAAGAAAATGGAGCACCCTTTCAAATCTTCAGAGTTTGGAAGTACTCTATGAAAACCATGCGAAGTTTGTTTATCATGAGTGTCTTCAGAGAATTCTTATTCATCCACCACTGAAGAAACATTTCATGATGTTACCCTTGGATTTACATCAAGGCATCAATGGCCTCAGCTGTCCTAAAATTTCAAGCTAATCTGTAAAAGGTTGTCTCAGCTCCCAAAAGACATCAAGGCATAAGGAAATACATGGCAAGCATTTGGGGAGGGTTTTGATTGTTCAACAGCTATGGAGTCATGCAGTGATGGCAATGACCACTTGGCATCATGTCTCACCTGGTAGGCCTCCAAATGTAACAATTTTTCTGTTTTCTGGCTGAGAAATAAGTCAAACCAGCTCTAAATATAATTATTCTGACACCCTGTCAATTTCTTGTGTCCCCTAACTAGACCATTATTAAGGTAATGTTACTGTGATGCTGGCAGGAGAGTAGAAGTTGTGATCTTGTGATTTTTCTGAACTGTTGGAACAGATCAAGCTCAAATGTGGTGTTTGCTTCACTGAATGAACTCATGGTAATCTTGGTTTTTTAACTGGAACTCCTAGAAAAGCATCAGATTAATTTCAGAATAACTGTATTGGTGGAGTATTACTTTACACCAAAATTTCCTTAAAGGAATGGGCCTATCTGCCCTGTAAAATTCTGGCAATTAAGGTTTTTATTGCTGTTGCTTTTCAAATCATCTACAATGGGCATGTATTAATTTCACAACTAGAAGTTTCACAAAAGGACCATTTAAAATCAATTTTGCAAAGAGTTAATAAACATATTTATCTTTTTGTCATCACTGACTGTGAAGTTTCGGTAGAGTGAATGTGCAACAATGCCAACATGAAGATTTCTGCATATTATATTCTGCCAGATCAAATGAGACACCTCTTTGACTTCTCCTTCATGACTCTGTGACTGACAGGCACTCTCCCTACATGTTTGCAAGGTGCATTTATTTTCTTGGAAACAAATTATTTGGGTATAGGACAAATTAATTGAAGGAGGTACTTACATTTTTCCTTGTCATAATTTTAACCAGACAGAATGAAGCATATGCATGATACAAAGCACATAATTTTCATGATTCTCAAGAGAATTCTTATCATTAAAATGTAGCACTGGAGAGCAGTTTTCTATGATCCTATAGGAAGCAGAAATCAGCAGGGAGCCTGTAGGCTTCTTCATAGTGGTGCTGAGATCCTTAATATACACCTATCCTTTTGCCACCTCCATCTCATCTTTACAGCTGGCTTTTCAAGTAAACCAACTTTAGATTTCCCAAACAAGTTAACTTTTTTCTTTGGATCTCTTTATAAAGGTCTATGTGTTGAGTCCCTGAATGACATTGTGAGGTACAGATTCACTGATTTGAACTGGTGTATAGACTAATGGAGTAGTGATGTACTAAAGAATTAGTCCACCCAAATATAAAGACCCAATTTGAAAATGGGCATCTGAAATGAACAGACATTTCTCAGACAAGTAAAAGCAGCAAGTAAATATATGAAAAAATGTTCCACATCACTGGTCATTTGAGAGATGCAGATGAAAACAACACTGAGATTCCACCTCACCCCACAATGAATGGCTGCTATCAAGAAATCAACCAATAACAAATGTTGGCGGGGTTGTGGGGAGAAAGGAACCCTTCTCCATTGTTGGTGGGAGTGCAGAATGGTGCAACCACTGTGGAAATCAATATGGAGATACCTCAAAGAGCTGGGACTAGAGGTTCCATTTGACCCAGCCATCCCTCTGCTGGGTATCTTTCCAAGAGAACTAAAAGAATCATATCACAGTGATGTATGTGCACCCATGTTTATAGTGGCACAATTTGTAGTAGCTAAAACTTGGAAACAGCCCATTTGTCCATCATTTGGAATTTGGGCAAAGAAGATGTGGGTTTTCTATAAAATGGAATACTGCTCAGCCATAAAGAATGAGAAATTAGATTCATTCATAGGAAAATGGGTACATATTGAGGAGATAGTCCTAAGTGAAATAAGTCACACATTTGTAAATACTGAATAGTTTCTCTGGAATGAAAAGCTATAATAGTACATAAGATCCTATTGAGATAATTGAACATGTGAAATAGGAAGAAAAGAGATAAAGGTGTAGGGAAAATGGGAAGGGTAGGGGAAAGGTCATAAGGGAAAAGAAAAAAAAATGAGAAAATGAAAAAATGGAAATAAAGTGTTTGTAAATGGGGAGGGGAGAAGAAGATGAAGGGAGGGCATGGGCAAGGGGAAAAAATAGAACCAAGACCTGTCATGTAGAGGTACGAGATCCCAATTATGAATGTAATTGTACTGTATACCTAAAACGTACCAATAAACTCAATAAAAGAGAGAGAGAGAGAGAGAGAGAGAGAGAGAGAGAAAAGAATTAGTCCAAAAGGAAAAGAAAAAGAAATAGAAAACATAGAAAGTTGAAGAATCCATGTGTGAAGAATGTAATCTCCTCATTTGAGTTGAAACTTATGGGACACTCTTCTTTCAGGAGTCATCCTGCCATTACTAATGCATGTATAGGTTAGTGAAAAACACATCACAGAATTTCCTGAACCTTCCTTCTTGGTCAAGGGTGTGTTTTCACCATTGTGCAGTTGCAAATCAACGAAAACATTTTATTTCTTCATTTGTAAAGGTTGTTCTTGTGTCTGTGTACAGGGAAGTGCTGAGTGGAGAAGATTCATCAAGCATCAGATAGTACAATGTGTGCCAATTACCTTACTTCCTTGGTTCTCTCTCAGGCAAAGGTTAAGCTATGTATGTATAGAACAGTCTCAAAACAAGATTAATCCACTTTCTCTTTTACTTTCCACAGACAAAAATATACCAGCAAGTTTTTTTTAATAAATTGGAGAATTAGACTCATATGAATGCATGATGGATAAAATAATCATACTTTCTAATCCTTCAAACACTACCTAGGATACACTTAGTATTCTAGGTTTTTCACCAAACCTAACCTTGTCTTCCCATTGAATTCTCAAGCCTCAATTTCTGATTCCTTCTGGCCTTCTGAATTCATTGCCAAGAAACACCAATATAGATACTTCATTTCCCTAGAATTAGTCTTTTTCTCTTTGACTTATCTGAAATATCGATTGCACTAAGTGGAAGCCCCTTAACATTGTCTTAGTCTAGTCATTTTCCTAGCCATACAACATGAATCCAAGAGACTTGATTCTTTGTTTTCTTCACACTGTCATTTATAGCCATTACTCTTTTGCTGTCTTCAGTTTCCTATTTTAATTTTTAGAAAAGATATCTGCAACAGGGCTAAATTCATGTCTTAAGCCTCTTTGACACTAGGGAAAGGGATAGTAGTGCTATTGAATGGGCTTGGGAGCCTCTGTAGCCCTGCAAACCTGTGCTCATCAGGTTATGACCCCTTGATCCCAGAACCAAGAGCTTTGGAGCTTGACAGATGTCTGTGTCCAGTGCAGAATCATCTGAATGTCTCTGCTTGTGAAGGAAGGCACCCATTAAGGGGATCTGCAGTGGGTGAGGAGTCAGGAGAACCAAACTGTACAAGTGCCAGTCAACCTTCTCTGTAATGCAGCTCCACAGACCCAGACACAGCTTATCTTGCTCTGTGTCACAGAGGTTGAGCCACCAGTTTTACATGGAAGCACCTTCCTCTTTTCCCACGTCTCGGATTTCACTTTCCCCTGCCTACAGCTCTTAGAGGATTTGTGTTGGTCACTACTTTGGGTGACACTTTATCGTTTCTCATGTGCGTTCCCTCTAGGTCAGTGAAGAGAAGAGCTGTTGGGATTTAGGAAGATAAATAATGCAGGGGCTTCTGATCTCCCATGCAGTCAGTTCAGACAATGGGATCCTTCTTAAAATGGCTCCCCTTTACAGCCCCAAAACAAGCTGAGAGCTGACCACAGCTCTTTATCAGCACCAGTTCTTATGTAAGTCCCAGGTTCCTGTTTCTTTATACTGCTTCTCTGCTCTGTGATGGGCCATATAGAAAACAGAGACTCTGCCACTCACAGTCACACCTAGGGGTACTTTCTCTCCTTCACCAAGCAATAGAGCACTCTCAGTCAGGATGCTCTACTTCTATAATTTTTCTTAAAACCACTATTCGCGGTTTTGGCTAGGTACTGACTCTCTCCATGTGCCCTCCCGCAATTTCCTAGGCATCTCAGCCTGACAATGGCCTACACACTTCCTTATGATTCAATCTTCTGGAGCATTAGGGAGATTCTGAGTGTCTCTAATCCACCACATTATTCCTCCCCGATGAATATATTCCTCACTGATCTTTCTTGTGGGATTGGACTGCTGCATTTTGTTAATTTTTGTTTATTTTTCCCCTTGAGTTTACTGGTACTTTTTAGGTATATAGTACAGTTATATTCATCATTAGAATCTTGTACCTTTACATGATTTATCTTGGTTCTGCTTTTTTGCATTAATTGTTTAATAGGGAAAAGCTAAATCAATGACTTATTTGACTAGGTCATTATTTTGTTAATAATATATTTTATATGTTATCTCAATATTTAAAAAATTAACATTTATCACTGTATTTAAAAGTAAGTGCAGGAGTTGAGATTAATTAGTTGGAGGATAGATATGATTTGTTGTTAATTTGAAATAGGGCAAAAAAAATCATGTCAAATTTAGAATATTAAGTATTGAAATACCCTTGTATTTCAACACTGATCATTTAGTCCTCACAAGTGTTTTTTTGCAGGAAAAACAGTGGATTTACATATGTCTGTAGAGAGAGAAACTGAAAGTCTTGTTGAATTCTGTAAGCCTGGGGAAAAATTGAGCTAAGAGAACCTATTTTTTTGCAGCCATCAATTTATTGGAAAAACTCTGCAAACTTTTCCCCCAAAGGGTGACAGAATAATGATATTTAAGGGGAAGAGACTCTGCCAAAGAAGAGGATGCTACTGTTTTCATTTTGTTTGATGAAAAACAGGAAAGGGTGATCACAATGGAAGTCTTCAGATACTCGTGATGAAGTTAGAGACATTGTAACTTCAGTAGCAGCTGCGGCTTCTGTCCCTGTTTCATTAACCTCCACAAAGGACTTGTGCTGGGCCTTAGATACCACTAAACCCGCGTCTCCAGTCATGCCTGAAAAGTCAGCATCACCTGGACTGAAGGCTTTTACCATTCCCATGTTTTGCAATATGTCATTGAGACTGAAACTCTGTTCCACCTTGAACCTCGGTAGACGTAAATTCACCTGTTTTGTGTTCATATTTTGTAGGCTTGCCCACTCCATTAATTTCTCACCAGTAAGTCCATCTTCAAGCTAAAAAAAAAAAAAATGGAAAAAGTGAATCCAACATGATTAACTGTAGAAATATACTGTACTATAAGAATGCACTAAAAATGTGGAAAACTTTATTTTAGATATAAATTTAATACACAGATGATTCAGTTTATGACATACTATTCTTGTGAACAGAAATAGCAGTCCAGAGTTATATTTATTTGATGTTATAGGTACATATTTATATATGTACTAAGTCATTCATTACCTTACATTATTTTGTACAAAATCAACTATATTACTTTTTATGGTACCAACTTATTTTATGTGTCATTTTAAATGCTCTTAATTTTCTAATGCTCCTTAATTATTGCATATTATAGTTATAGTGTATGTTTTATTTTAAGTGTTTTGTTTACCACATTTTTAAGCATTTTCACATTATTATTTCTCACCACCACACATACATTTTTGCCTTTTCCCTATTATCAGGTTGAAATTTAATATACATAACACTATTCAGTTATTGATTAACTGTCAGCATGTATCAGACTCTGTGATAAAATATTTGTAATGAAAAGATAAATCATCATTCCTTGTGTTGAAATTTTCATTACTGTGAAGCGCCTTGCTCTAAAAGCTTTTGCCTTTGTTGTGATGTACGAGACAAACAAAGGACACTAGGCCAAACTCTTAAGTGAAATTAATGAGTCATATGTGTAAATACTGAAGTTTCTCTGGTGTGAAATACTAAAAGTGTAAATAAGGATCAAAATGTATAATTGATACTGTGTAATAGGAAGAAAAGGTCTAAAAGAGCAGAGGAAGTGGGAGGGGTATGGGAAAAGAGAACAGGGAAAAGAAAAAATATGTGAAAAGAAAAACATGGAAACATTGGCTTTGTAAATAGGGAAGTTTGAAGGGGTTGAAGAGAGGGAAGGAGAATGGGGAAAAATAAGAACCAAGATAAATCATGTAAAGGTACAAGATCCCAGTGATGAATGTAACTGTATGTATACCTAAAACGTACCAATAAAGTTAACAAAGACAAAAAAAAAAAAAAGAAAGAAAAAAATGTAGGCCCAAGTTTTACCTGCTGCAGACCATCGACTTCATTTGGCAGCAGCACAACCATGCTCAGAGCCTTGTCTTTGTAAGGTATTTCCACCATCTTGGCCTGCACATCTTCCAGGGAGGCAAAATTGAGATAGATGCTTTGTTTCATCATCTGCACACATTTGCTAGTATCCTGTAATAAAGGAAAGCATCAAACAAACACCAAATTAGACATAACACAAGTTTCTTCAAGTACACTTAACTAAATAAAATTTCAAGAATCAAATGATGGAACAATACTTGGGACACATTTTATTTTTTTTACCTACAATTGCATACTCATCAAATAGGTTTAAATTTAACTTTCTATATAGAGCTATTGTGTATTAAGGAAATAAAATATAGTCAATACCTTGTTCAGCCAGAATTTTCCTTCTACAGTATAGTTTTTATTAAATTTGTTCTCCCATTGCCCTTTGAAATAAACTGCATTCACCAGAACCAGTTTGGTGCCATTGTCAAGACTATTAACAGGAAAGAAGTCCTTGATCTTGTCTGTAGAAGAAAAAATAAAATATCTGTCAAGCATGGTACAGTTCGCTTGTCTGCAAGATACACTGTGACTGAGCATTACTTATTCATGGAAATGACTACTTCAGGGACTTGTAGACCTGTTCACCAAGTGCAGCCCTCTTCATTGTGCCAGCCTCAGAGTTACCTCTGATAGAGGTGACAACACTTGAGCTGGGAAAGAACTTTAAGCTCTTTGTCAACGACTGATTAAAGTCAGTTCACACTGAGTACTATCAACAGATTTCATCTATGCTTTGCATTTATCTTTGTCATTCCTCCTTCTCAGCCTTCCTTTCTAGCATTCCACTTTGGGGGCACTACTCAGAGAAAATACAGCTTGATCATTCTCTAGGACTAGTAGCATGAACTTTATCTTATGAAACCCATAGGTTTTCCTGACAGATATGACTCCTCGGGGTATCTTCTTCATCATTCTCCTGTGCAACTCCCTGCCATAAGCTTGGCCTGTGTGACAGCCAATCAATAAGGTAGGTGACCATGTATGGAGCACCGTTAAGCTATCTGTCAACGATAGAGAAGTTCTTTGTAATAATACTTGTAGAAGGCACAGGTGAAGGCATGGTCCATGTAGTTCCAGTTCACCTGGCATGAAGTGTGGTTTATGTGAAGGCTGTTTGGTTTCCCATTAGTTAAAGGAGCCCTATCCAATGAGATTAAATTCCTGCTAAGGTTGGAATCCTGTTATGGTACATCAAGAGGCTTATGGAGTAGTACGCTTAGATCTGCGTGGGCTTTAGGAAATGAATGGATAATAAAGATTCTTTTCTTTATTCCTCAGTGGGTTAATCCACTGATAAGATCATAATTTAACGGAATTCTTAGTAGGTGATGGATACAAATTGTGGGGCCAGTTGAAAGGAATATCTCATAGAAATGTGACCTATACTGTTTCCTAACCATTACTTTCGACTTTCTCACGCTCTGTGCATCTTAGGTGCCATGAGGTGAGCACTTTTTCTCCACTACAATGTTCTGCCATGGTATTTCTGCCTCACCATACTCCTAAAAACAATACACTGTCTGCATTGAAACTTCTCAAACTGTGAGCCAAAACAAATCATTCCCCACCCCTAAATTGTTTATGTCAGGTACTTTGTCACTGTGATGGAAATTGGCTAATACAGATATCTATCATAAAGCTTGGTTGTAATTTACATTAAAGGATGGGATGTCAAAATGGGCTGAGTAAGGATTGGAATTCACAAGGAAATTGTCACCTTGGGCCATGTGCAAAACATTCTTCAGCTGCTTGTCTATAGAATTGACTTTCTGGGATTCCCTTCCTGGCTCCCCTTACACTTCCCACATTTACTTGGGCCATCTCACCATCTGCAGTGCTCCTCCTCCTCTCTGCAAACCTGTCCTAATACCCCACCTCAGCACCACACCTGCTTTGTCGACACAGGACTGACTCCCAGGTACTTAAGTGTTTCTGTAATGGGTGAACCTTGCATTATCTACCATGTGTTTGTTTTTCCACCCAGGTGTTCATTTTCTTCCGACTTTCTTCTGTTTCATTTTCAAAATCAACAGATTCTGCATCAGTCAGGTAAAAGTTCTTAAGGTCATTCAAATATTCCTTTGGGATATGAAGGAAGAAAGGAACAATTAAGAGTGATTTGTACATTATCAAATTTAACTACTTATGATTGCAGTCAGCTAAGTTCAGACCCTGACCATATCCATTATCTCTTACATGTTTTTGTGTGGGTGCGATATAGGCAGTGTAAAAGGGGAGCCCAGGCCATTGAAAGTCAAAACTGTCTGCCAAAATACAGCAGAGGAAGAGGCTATGGTATGCAAATGTTAAAGCTTTTTACTCTGAAGGAGATGAGTTGCTTCTGAGAATTCTCATCAGCAAATTCAATTTGGTTTATACCTTCCATCTGAGAAATTAAATACTTTGTTACTTCCCATTTTTCTCCTTAGGGATTCTTCCAAGATTGGCCATTCCAGAATTTTCCCATTACCCATAATTTTCTGCTTAAACCATGATCTCTCTCACTGAGTCAGTGCTGGTTCATTATGACATCTTGAGACTGACTCTGGTGCCCCACATCCTTCTTTCTAATAAAATAATCCCTGAACGCTCACGTTCCCCTGCAATAACAGACCAAGAACAGTCTAGTAAGGTACTGTTGGAACTGATACTTTGTGGGGAAATGCAGTCTATGTGAGTCAGGTAAGATCCTGTGATTAGTAAAGGACCAAGATGAAAGTTGTGGAGGGCCAGGTGAAATTTACCGGAAGAAACTGGAAATTCTTTTCTTTGTAGATCTTGTTAGCACTCTTCAGTTCATATGCATCAGTGGGTTTTTTCCACTCAGTCAGAAGCTTTTGAAATTGGAGATGCACACTTCCTGGATTTTCACCCTTCAACATTAAAGAACGCTCATTGCATTAGTATTTAGCTCATTACATACTAAACTCATATGAAATCTATTTGATCATTACCTATTCACTGATAATCACAAAGGTGACTACTTTCTTATTCCATGATATTTGTGATATTTTATCTCATGTAACCTTAATAAATCCACCTTAATATCAGTTTCTTTCAGGAAATTCTTTCTGCCTGATATAAAATACTGTTATGTGTTTTCTGTTTGACTAACTCTTATGTGTTTTCTGTTTTCAGTATGTTGAATTGTCAGTGATTTCAATAGTTAGATTTAAACTTCCTGGCTAGCCTCTATGTTCCCTAGGCAAATAGAATAATTCATTTCCATCAGCCTTCAAAGACACAGTTATGTTGAAATTTAGATATTTTAAATCCATTAAAATCTGAAGTCTTCTGATACCCCTTGGTAGTATCCTTTTCTGACTTCTAAGACACTTTGACTTTGATCTATGGCCCTTTCTGACCTTGCATATAAGAGAGATGGATGCTTATTTCCCACCTAAGTCTGAGGACAGGTAGTCTAAGTTTTATCAAAATGAAATTAGAAAGCTGAGAGAATTACATATCCTCTCCAAAGAGACTAAATTAGAAAAGCCAACTTTTAAATCTAAGCCTATTTGACTTTGGATATTATTTGCTAGCTGAGTTTCGTTAACCTCTTGACTAAGTGTGAGTGAAATGCCCATATACCTGCCAGGAATGATTTTCCAAATATACTTCAACTTCTGCTTATTTCTTTTGGTTCTAGAGTTAATTAAAATTGAATTATTTTAGTAGTAGTATTATGCTTATGATAATTATCATTTAATATTAACTGAAGTTTATTATGAGCTCTTATTTATGACAGCCCAAGCAGTGTTTGTAAATGTTTTCATGAGTTGCTTCATATTCTTTTTTACTCCATTTTACTGGAATGTGGTTACTGTTACTCAGAGCATTTTTATGTTGCTGAACTTCACCTCTGAGGTGCAGAAGGGGAATTTAAACCAGCCTGTTTGGCATCAGACTCACTTCCATTAATACAATGTCAATCCACTCTGATTGGAAGAAAAATGTGAGAATGTTAATTGTGTAAATGAAATGTAAATACACTCTTTGTGTTCTTATCTCATGTTTGGGGTTTTCCAAACTAGTTGCCTTTCTGGAGTTCATGTAAAATTCAAATGTTTAAACTATGGTCCTCTCAGATATCTGAAGCTGTCCTACAGTGAAAGCGCTCAGGTACTCACGTGACTGGTTTGAGTTTTTCCTTTTGACTCCTTTGTGACTTCATTGAAATGCAGGACCTGGAAGAGACAGGGAATGGGGCAAGAAAATCTTCCTCAAAAGATCTGTCCAAATCAGAGAAAAGAATACCAGAGAAGTGCATAGTTTTGGAGCATGCCTATAATCTAGGCACTCTGGGAGACTGCGGCAAAGGGTCACAAGTAGAAGCCCACCCTGCACTCTTTAGCATGTTACAGATATTCTGACTAAAAAAAAATTAAAAGGGAAAGAAACTCAAGAAATGTAGCTCAGTATGAATGGAGTGGTCCAATACCCATCAACAGGGGCAGTCGGGTCCAATACAAAACAGGGGGTGTGGTTCAGAACAAATCCTTAAAAATAGTGAAAACAAACATAAAAAATTAAAGAAAAGGAAAACAACCCCAAATTTCAGAATATGAGTGTGGTCTTTGAAAAACCACAGCCAAGCAGGTTTATCACCATACACTTCAAAGACTGCCCATCCATCCACTCATGGTTGAGGAGAGCTCTGGTGGTGTACCCCTTGGATTCACGTCCAGGCATCCCTATGCCAGTAGTCCTCAAGTGTTAAGCTCCTCTCTCATTGCTGGACAACTGTAGGTCAACTCACATTCCAAATAATATCAGGAACAGGGAAGAACACGGCAAACATTAGGGGAGTGCTTCCTCTGTCCCATAGCTCTGTGGTCACAGTCATAGGAATGCTTGCTCAATATCCTGTCCCACTCATCAGGCCCCCAGATCCACACACACATCTATGCACATGCTAGCCTACAGAAAAGCTATAGTAGCTCTAAATAGAATGGTTCTGACACTCACCTTCTCCATTTCCTGTGCAGTTTTCCCTTTGGCCCCTAAGTAGACCATTGCTAATGCTGCTGTGATGCTGATAGGGGAGTAGAAGACATTGTCTTTTGATTTTCTTAATTCTTGAAAGAGATCAAGAGTGAACTTGGTGTTTGCTTCACTGAGTGAACTCATAGTGACCTTAGTGTTACCTGCAACTCTTAGAAAACATGAGATTCATGTCAATATAACCTTACTGGTTGACACCACTCTGCAATTAAAGCTCCATGAAGAAAATGAAGTATCTTGTTTCTTGGATGCCACTGATTATGGTTTGTATTAGCATTACTTTTCAAGCCTCTCATAACAAAATATCCACAAAAAAACTATTTTAAAATTATTTTATGCAAGAAATAATAGAACATCTTTATCTTTCCTTTTTCACTGGCTGTACAGGTAGAAAGGTACAATAACTTTGTAACAAATGCAAGAGGAAGATCCCTGTGGATCATGTCCAGGCAGCTCTCAATAGACATCTCTGACTTTTCTGTCAAGCGTGTATGGCTGGTAGGCACTCTGTCTAAGGGCTCATAAGGATGTATTTCTTAGAAATAAATTTTATTTGTCATTGAGTTTATTGGTACATTTTAGGCATACAGTACAGTTACATTCATCATTGGGATCTTATACCTTTACAAGACAGGTCTTGGTTCTCTTTTTTTCCCCTTATCCCTGCCCTTCCTTCACCCCCTACTCCCTTTCCTATTTACAAATACTTTATTTCCATTTTTTCATTTTCTTATTTTTTTCTTTTCTCTTATAGAAATAATTTTTTTAGCTAAAGGAGAAAGGTGGTATCTTAATTTTCCTTGTCACAATAACTATAATGCAATCACTTTAATGCCCAAATAAAAATACAACATTCTTATGATTCTCAAAAGCAACTCATATCATTAAACAACAATAACTGGAAGGACTTACCTTTGTTCCTTGGGGAAGTGAATGTGAGCAGGTAGCCTGCGAGTCTCTGTGTTATTAATGCTAAGATACTGAATATATACCTCTCCTCTTGCCTCTGTTGTGTCATTTTTCTTGGTATTTCAAGTAAAGCAACTTTGAATTTCTCAATCAGGTTACTCCTCCTCATTCTGAGCATGCAAATTTAGGGATAGGCAATGTTAAGATATTGCCAATATACTTCCTTTCGCCATAGAAACAAAATTTCAATCATCAGTCATTGGTAATCTTTGACTGAAATGGAGGGCACATTGTACTTTCTTAGCACTCCTGAACATGAGTATAAAGTTGAAATTCTATTGCAAAAGAAAAGAGTGGCTGAAGTGGGACAGTGTAGCTACACAGAACAGGCTGTCAAAACCACAGGCTGTCAGCTCAACATAGCTACACAGAAGAATATGTCAAAACCACAGGCTGTCAGCTTTGGCTGTTTGCTAAGATGTAGAGGCCATTTGCCTTTTACTTCTTAAAAGGGCCCAATTCAGTAAGCTAATCCTACCTCTGGTTTCGTCTGTCCCTACAGAAAGCTTATATTTACTGTGCTTCAATTCAGAAAGTGTTTGTAATCATCCCATATAACCAGGGAAATAGCTAATTCTAATCCAAAAACACCCTGAGGATGCATCTCAGCAAACTCAGGAGAAAGTGCTTGCTTGATATCTTCAATGCTCTGCTCTTGCCAGTGGTCGTCCCTATAGATTCTCAACTCCCTGGAGCTGTCTCAGATGTTTTCTACAGGTTAAGGTGAGCAAGAAAGTTTTGAACTTGCTGCCTTGACATGTTGGAAATGAGAAGAGCTGTTGAATAAGCAGGAGACATTTTGAATCATGGCCTTTTGAAAAGCAAGAAAATTACTCATTTGAGATGTCAGGATAACAACATTTTGGTGCCAACTCATAATTTACTACACTGGCTTCTGACTCCTGGACTGGATGCCAGGGTAAAATGCATGTAAGACATAATGGAAGGAGGTGGTGTGTTGTTTTAATTGTCATTCTTAAATCTACTTTTTCTGTAGTGTTCTTCTCTGCATGTGCACAGTGTCACTCTAGGCAGGCTAATATTAATAACTACTGTTTGATGGAGCTGGGGTATATATACTCATACATCTTACAAAACTCATTGAATTAGATTCATTTGAGCTGGTGACATAGCTGAGTGGTAGAGTACTTGCTTTGCATGTGTTTGACCTGTGTTCCAATCCCAGTACCACACAAACAAAAACAATAGGAAGTAGGCACATTTACTGCCCTCATTTCACACTGATGCAAAGAATGGTTATGCACTACTTTACTTAGCAAGTCAATTATAAAGGTGAGATTCTAAGGAAGAGATTCTAAGTGAGAAACCTAAATGTTTATGTGCTGTCTCAATACATAAAACAGGGTTCTGGTTTGGTTTGATATGAAATATTCTCTCCTGCTTAAATGATCAGACCATTTTCTTTTAGAATTTCAAAATACAAAGCATTACCCCAAAATACGGGAGTCACAAGTGAAATATTTCGCTCTAGACTTGCCCTCAATGTGGTCACACAGGAACCTGGGGAGAAGCCTGGGTCTGTGGACAACCCAAAAACATTTAGGAGCAAGTCTTATGGGAAAATGTTTGGGGATGGATACAGGATGATTTCCTCTTAGTACAGAGGTTAGAGGGAAAATACAATCTTGCTTAATCTCATCAGTCAGCTCTGTGTCACTGTATTGAAATATTCCAAGTGAACCACTTGAGAAATGAAGGGAGGTTTATTGGAGCTCATGGTTCTGAGGGGTCAAGCTAAGATGAGGCCTCATTTGTTTTCCATTTTAGTGGAGGTGTGACATCAGAATGGGAGAGGTGTTGGAGGAAACTGCCTACATTACAAGCCAGGAAGCAGACTTGGGGTCCCATAATTTCCTCCAGTACACTCCTCTAATTACTTAAGGACTTTCTGTAATGCTGTGTATGTTAAAGGTCCTGAGCATCCCTCAGTATGACCATCAGAGGGACAAAGCTTTCATAGAAGGGCCTTTGGGGACAGTTCACAACAAACTCTATAAACAACCCCTGTTTTCTCAAAATGCTCTATCAAGGAGGTACTTAAGAGAAATGAGAAACTTCGAGGGGGAAAGCGATGGGTTAAAAATAGTGTTTTCCTCGGTACAGTGTGCATCCTGAGGATGTGTGTGGGAAAGAGAGAGGCATATAACTCAAGATGTCCTGATCTTCAGGTATGGGGCCAGCTTATTCTCTGGATTAGTAACACTTTGTATATGTATCCATTTTCCTGAAAGTGACATGATTTCATTGTTTCTTTTAGCTAAATAATATGTTCCATTATATAAGGGAATAATAGTATTGCTTTATATTTATATATGCCACATTTCTACATCAATCCTTCTGTTGAAGGGAATCTAGGCTATTTGTGCAGGTGGACTTTTGTGAATTGTGCTACTATATACACAGTTATGCATGTATAACTGGGTAACATTCACATATGTATATGTACATTACATTTTATTGATCCATAATCTATTGCAGGAGATCTAAGATGTTTGAACTGGGTTAAAAAACTTGGGTTTTACCAACTGTGTCAAATTTAATGTTTTCTATTACATACTCAGGAATGCTATGGAAGGATCAAGTAGTCCTTCTATTTTTAGTTTTTGAGGAGTCTCCATACTAAGTTGCATAGTGATTCAATTGCTTACTTTCTTTTTTTTTTAACCAACTGCAGGAGGGTGTAGGAAAGGTTCAATTTGGCTCACAGTTTTAAAGATCCCATTCCATTATTCAATGACTGTTGGTTTTGACCAGTGAAGAGGCAGCACATTTTGGCAGGCAGCACCATCTTGGGAACCTGAAATTAAATTGGAAATTAAGCTCCAGTCTCCTGTTCAGTGTACCTAGAGAGCCTGAGAGAAAAAATAATAGACAGATCTAAGAGAGACAAAAAGTGCCGATCCAGGGCAATGAATGCTGGGGCAACCAACAAAGCTGCAGGAGAGTCCATACCACTGTTTTTTAATAGTAGTCAGTGGGGGTAAAGGTGAGCTACATGCAACAGTGGGACTACTAGTGAGGATGTACAATGAAGCAGTTTCTTTTTTTTTTTTTTATTGAGTTTATTGGTACATTTAGGGATACAGTACAGTTACATTCAAACAGATCTAAGAGAGAAAAAGTGCCGATCCAGGGCAATGAATGCTGGGGCAACCAACAAAGCTGCAGGAGAGTCCATACCACTGTTTTTTAATAGTAGTCAGTGGGGGTAAAGGTGAGCTACATGCAACAGTGGGACTACTAGTGAGGATGTACAATGAAGCAGTTTCTTTTTTTTTTTTTTATTGAGTTTATTGGTACATTTAGGGATACAGTACAGTTACATTCATTGTTGGGATCATGTACCTTTACATGGCAAGTCTTGATTCTCATTTTTTTCCCCTTACCTCTGCCCTCCCTTCACCCCCTCCTCCCCTCCCCATCTACAAACACTTTATTTTCATCTTTTCATTCTCTCACATTTTTTTCTTTTCCCTTTTTGTTCTTCCCCTACGTATCACACCTTCCCTACACCTTTAGCTCCTTTCCTCCCATTTCTAAATGTCAGTAATCTTATTAGAATCTTATGCATTGTTGCAGAATATTCACACCAGGGAAACTATTTGGTATTTACACATGTG